TGACCAACAAGAGAAAAAGATAATGACTGCTACGTCATCGAGGATGGTCCTCAGCAGAGTTAATGGTGAAAAAAAACTATGCAGCCATTGCAGATGTATAAGAAAATATGCACATAGGTCTAAGCAAGTCTTGGTTTTCCACAACAAATATAATTAGAAATTTTTTATTATACTTTTAGGCTATAGCACTTCTAAATTAGATGTAGACACTGTTTGCAATTCTTATAAAAAATTAACCATTAATGTTAGTGCATATATACTTGCTTCAACTAAGACCCAGGTCCACCAGTTTAGCCTGTTAATACGAATTTTAAGGAAACCTCCAGACAACGTTGTTCCAATGTGAATGTTCAATTAGAAAGGGAAAAAAATAAGAGTTCTTAGTAGTATCCTAAAGAAGCCTGAGCTTCAGGACAAGCTTGTGTACCCCATTATTCACGCTAATGGTTCCTTTATTCCAATCACCTACTCCCATTCATTGTTGCCTGTAGCCAGAACAGCCACTTACCAGAACAATTCTGGAGAGTAAAATGGATTGCACAACAATGCCTAATCATGGTTCCCGCACAGCTCATGATCAATTGGAACCAAGAAAGTCTCAGATTTAGGGGTCAAAATCATTGTTGTGGTTGGCTTAATGCGCTTCCTGATCAATGGCAGGCTGAAGTTATGATTTTTATAACTCACAGCACCACAAATTTTATTTCTTTTTCTTTTCCCTGTTTAAAGATGACTTCAAGGGAATCATTTGTAATATCTATCTGAGCTATACGGTTATACGACTCAAAATATCCAACAGATAACAAACAATATCCCGAGATTACACCGAATACTCTTTCGATGATTTCAGGATCCCCAGAGAAAGGAACCGCCTTTCGATGAAAAGAACGTACGTGAGTACAGAGAGGGCGAAAGGAACTCACGTATCCAACGAAAAATAAAATAAAATAAAACCAGCCAATCAAGCCCAAATACTAAAACCCGAACCCAAAACCCAAACCAGGCCCGTTACTTCACCTAACGGCTAACCCTAAGATCCCCTTGACGCCCTCCACACGGACGCGCCCCCCCCCAACACCTCCCGCCCCCCTCCAAAACCCCCCAACAGCCAAAAACAAAACCAGCAGCCGCCCCACCTCAATCCTCTCCTCCCCCCGAGGCCGCGCGCCTCCCCTCACGTGCGACCAAACCGGCAAGACGACCCGCCTCCACTTCTCCCCATCCCATCTTCTCCGCCGCCTTTCTCGGTCCACGCCGCCTCCCGCCATCTTCTCCACTCCAGGCCTGGCCACAGCATTCAGCCGAGAAACCCTAAATCCTGCGCCTCGACAAGGCGAGCTTAGCACTAATCAGGGCCTTGAGGCGGCCCACTCACAGCCCTGCCGTTGGATACGGTGGTTCCTTTCGCCACTCCTGTACTCGACGTACGTTCTTTTCATCGAAGCGGTTGTCCTTTCTCTGGGGATCCTGAAATCAATCGAAAGAGTATTCGGTTTGTAATCTCGGGATATTGGTTTGCTTACTTGTTGGATATTTGATCGTATAACCGTATAGCTCAGATAAGATATTACAAATGATTCCCTTGAAGTCATCTTTAAACAGTGGAAAGAAAAAGAAATAAAATTGTGGGTGCTGCTGAGTTAGTAAAAATCATAACTTCAGCCTGCCATTGATCAGGAAGCGCATTAAGCAACCACAACAAGATTTTGACCCCTAATCTGAGACTTTTCTTGGTTCCAATTGATCATGAGCTGTGCGGCGAACCATTGATTCAGGCGATTGTGCTGCAATCATTTTACTCTCCAAATTTGTCTCTGTAAGTGGCTGTTTCTGGCTACAGAGCAACAAGAATGGAGTAGGTGATTGGAATAAAGGAACCATTAGCGTGAATAATGGGGTTAGCACAAGCTGCTCCTGAAGCTCAGGCTTCTTTTAGCATAACTACTAAGCAACTCTTATTTTTTTCCTTTTAACTTGAACATTCACATTCGAACAACGTTGTCTGGAGGTTTCCTTATAAAATTCGTTATTAACAGGCCTAAACTGGTGGACCTGGCGTCTTTAGTTTGAAGCCAAGTATATAATGCACAACATTAATGGTATAATTTTGTATAAGATTTGCCAAACAGGTGTCTACATCTAATTTAGAAAGTGCTATAGCCTAAAGAGTATAATTAAAAATTTCTAATTATATTTGCTTGTGGGAAAACCAAGACTTGGTTAGACCGATGTGTCATATTTTCTGTATACAGCTGCAATGCTGCATAGTTTTTTTTCACCATTAACTCTCCTGAGGACCATCATCGATGACGAGCAGTCATTATTCTTTTTCTCTGTGGTCCAATATATATCCCCCCCCCCCCCCCCCCAAGCCAAAAGCAGCAACTTCATGCATCTTATCATGGGCCGTTGACTGCGCAAATATACTGGCTTCTTCAACGGGCCATCACAAAACTATCATACAAAATAACCTTGTTTTATGCTGCTCATGTCTCTTCTATCGGCTTATTGATATATCTCAATGGGCCATCACAAACTATTCATACAAAAATAACTCGTTTTTATTGCTGTTCAGTTCTCTCTATCTTGCTTATTTAATCTTTTCTGCAAATGCATTCTATTTTACTGTTCTGGTATTTTAGAAGCTAAACGAAAGTTAACTTATAGAATACATAGAAATATTTGATTTTTCTAACGATATGTTTTTATATGAATATAAACTTCATTACACTTTCCTATT